GACCGAAAACGCAGGTCTGAAGCGTACGTTCGCCAAAACGTGGGCCAATACGTGCCCAGCCAACATGCAGCGTGTGGACACGGACATGTTGAGAACGGCACGTGTTGCGTTTCAACACGGGCGTATCAGGGCCGCTAAGGTCGGGCATGGTCGAAAACATCGACAAGCCCTCCCCAGGATGTGCAAGAACATCCAACCAACACGACACGAACATTAGGGTACCCTCCCCGAAGCGACCTGGACCTTACACCTCGGCCCGACTGTGCACCGTCGGATCGGGCATAGTCGAAGGCATCAGCCGGTAACCTGGAGAGCTCCAAGATCGCCCGATACCATGGGCGGCGGAGCGATGCGATTGCGCACCGCGCCGCCTGCGGCGCGTCGCTTTTGGCCCAAGATCGGGTTGGCGGCTCCCTCTCCTTGAGTTACCCCAGCGTGATTTTTCGTCGAGTATACCAGAATACGTAGAATGCGCGTAGATCTACGAACATTCTTCGCCAGATTTCTGTAAACTCGCCGAAGCCGAACATTCCTTCAAGTTTGGGGTACATCGATTCGGTAATTAATCGATCTCCTGATCTCTCTTTCTCTCTCTCTCTCTCTCTCTCTTCGGGGGCGGCGAAGAGGGGGGCGTCCAAGAGGGGGGTGCGCAAATCATGGCCGGCGGCACGTGCGCGGCCTAGAGGGGGGGGGGCCGGGGACGTAACGAAATATAAGAAGAGGCGCAATGAAATCTGGGGAGCTATACCATGGCCCCCCCGCCATGATCGCCACCCCCCCTAGTCATCCCCCCCCCCTCTTGGCCGCCCCCGATCTCTCTCCCTCTCTCCCTCTCTCTCCCGTCTTCTCTCCACGTCGCCTCCCGCGTCTCTCTGGCCATGCCCCCGGAGCGCTCCCTGCCCGAAGGCGCCCCGAGGCCGGACGACCCCCCCGGGAGCCGACGAGGGCGTCCGAAGAGAGCCCGACCTGCGAGCCGAGAGCCGCAGGGGCGGCAGGGCGCCCGGGGCGGCGGCGGGGGGGGGGGGTCGGGTTGACCCAAAAGGGGGTCCAGCGACGAGGGGGGGTGGTGCAATCGACTCGGTGCAGTAAGACTTGTGGGGTTGCCATCGATTCGGGGCGTGCAGCACACTCCTGGGCGCAGGTGTGCTGCCAGGTTTTCGCGTGCAACGCATCGGTTGCAATACAGTGCAATCGGATTCTCTGGCGCAGTGTATTTGCAATGGACTTGCCCCAAATCTATTGCACCACCCGCTTTCAGCTGGACCCCCCTTTGGGTCGCAAGGAGGGGGGGGTGGCGAGACGACCCTGATCGGGCGCATGCTACCACTCGGCGGCGAGCGAGGGGGGGGAAGGTGAGAAGGAGGAGGCCTTCTCAGAAGGCGGCGGGACTTCTCTCAGAAGCCCTCGCCTTCTGGGACATGTGCTGTGCCTCTGGGGAAGAGCCCAGAAAACTTCTCAGGAGGCCGGAGGACTTCCGAGCCTTCTGAGAAGGCCCGCTTCTTCTCGCCTTCTACCCCTCGCTCGCCGCCGATTCTAACGCCATCCGCACTCCATGTCTGCACTTCCTCCAGGGGGTGGCAGAAGGCGACGACCCAGAGCGGCGGCCGTGCCGCGGGGATGGGAGAGAAGCCGCTGCCGGCCTCGTTCGGGACACCGTCCCCGTCCCTGTCCGGGTCCTCGGGGCCAGGGAGTCCAGGCGCCCTCTTCCTGCTCCTCCCCGTCCTCCTCCTTCTCCTCCCCCTCCTAGAGCGCCTCCCCCTCCTCCTCTTCTGCCTTCTCCTTCTCCGCTGCCTCCTCCACCTTATCGTCGTCGTAGTCGTCCTCCTCCTCCTCCTCCTCCTCCTCCTCTTCCTCGCCCTCTTCCTATTCCTCTTCTTCTTCCTCCTTCTCCTTCTTCTCCCCCTCCTAGACTTCTTCCCCCTCCTCATCTTCTGCCTTCTCGTTCTTAACTGTCTCCTCCACCTCCTCCTCCTCCTCCTCCTCCTTCTCCTCCTCCTCCTCCTCCTTGACAACAAGCTCCAACCTCTTTGGCACGACATTGGGACCGATTATCCCGACCAGGGGGCGGAGTGATCCCCAGATGAACGGCGCGCGCCGCACGTCTTATCGACACTGTAGTGCCAGTCACTGGTCCCCATCTGGAATTACTCGGTCGATGTACAACGAGGCGACTGTGAACGCGCAGAGCTGGACGCGTGGACCGTGAAAACGGGAAATGGTACTGCCTTGCGAGCGTGGCCAAAACTCCGGCCCCAGACGCGCGCGGCGAGGAGGCGGGAGGGAGGCGCGAGGGAGAGAGGAGAAACAGGAGAAGAGGCACAGCTGTGCCGTTGGCTGGCCACGCTGCGCGGGCGATGCTTAGGCCCGAAGCTCGCACTGCCACTAAAATATCTGCGGAGCAAAGCCTCACGGGCAACGTGGTTGCCAAAATCCGCGCTCAAGGTTCAACGCTCTGGGCGGGGCACTGCAAGTTGAGCAACAAGCGCAATAGCCCCAGACTTGGGGGAGAGAAAGAGAGAGAGAGAGAGAGAGAGAGAGAGAGAGAGGAGGAGGAGGAGGAGGAGGAGGAGGAGGAGGAGGAGGAGGAGGAGAGAAGGGAGGAGAGCAGGAGGAGGAGGAGGAGGAGGAAGGAGGGAGGAGGAGGAGGAGGAGGAGGAAGTGGAAGGAGGAGGAAGAGGAGGAGGAAGAGGAGGAGGAGGAGGAGGATGAGGAGCCTACTAGTATCTCGACGCCACAATATCAAACTCAACACAATGCGGCAACTCCACAGCAAGGGCTCGATCCCGACTCGGCAACGTCGACGAACACAGCCAAGCAGATGTTCCCGACGACGGCCTCAGCCACCGCTACATCCACATCTCCCTCTGGCTCGGCATCGGGTACATGCAGGCACTAACCCAAGTGGCTGGGCACACAGTCAAACCTATACACATTCCCATCGCGTACCTACCAGGCACCATCGCACCTGCCTGCCATTACCCTCGCATACCTACCAGGCACCAGCAGTCTGAAGAGACGCTCAATCAGATCTCACTTAAGTGGGAGCATCAACACTCAAACACAGACCTTCACAAGCACTGGGTCGACCGACCTCCAAACATACCACACTGCAAGTTCCTCCAAAGACGCAAGGACGGAGCACCTTTCCCCGACGACGGACGTATACCCCATCATGCAAACAGGAATGAACGCATCAACAATGTCCTTGCGAAAGTTCGAACACTAGCACAACAACAAAGTACAATCCGAATGCCCCGATTATGAAACAGACTGCATCACACCGAACAGCAATACCGATACGATGTACACACTGTACCGAAAACTAACACGAAAACACTACGACATCACCCTCGACGTGGTCTGCGGCATCTACTCCTCCGTCGCGCCCGATTCTACCAACTTCATCTCGACCATGAAGACGCGCACCAGACATATCGACACTGGCTATCAGCTACCATCACTCACCAACCTGCTCGCAGACCCGCTGCACACCTCAGGAGCGGCCTCACTATACCCACCGTGGGACACGCTCGTAATCGGCCGCGCTCACAGACACATCCCCCACAGACGACACACCGATACCCAGACATAGTAGAAGCCAGACCAGCACCACGTATCATCATCATCATCATCATCATCATCATCATCATCATCATCATCATCATCATCATCACCTGTCTTGAGCTGTGGACAGGCACAGGAAGTTGCGCACGCACCACCAACATCCACGACACACGACACAGAGCCTCAGACCCAACACATCTTAACAGCACCCCTCCCAGCAAACCCAACCTGGGCCATCCCAATAGGATGGAACCCTTCGCCCAGAATGTATCACTACGATCTACCCACAGCACCTCACACAGCCGACGATCCCAAACCAAACCCGCGTTCCACTGCCGCATCCACAAAACCATGAATCAAGTACGCGCTAACATCTCAGAGGACCACCCCTTCTATAATCTCGTGAAGCAAGCCATAGAAGGCGAAAGGCAGGCAGAACTACGCGAATACGAATGGGAGGAGTCATGGCGAAAGGCATGCTCGAACCAACCATACTCGACCTACGCATCCCGACCCACTAGTCCCATATACAGAATAACGTGCCAAGCAGCCACAGGCAACACCACCCACACCGACAATAAAATGCGCCGACAGCCCGCCGCTCCAACGACTTTCCACCATCGACTCCCCGACCTTCTACGACCGCTCAGCACGCCGCATGGAAGATAACCGCAACGACACAAATCACGCTTACCAAACAGGGTGCTGGGACCCGCTGCGGCTTCGGTGGACACAACCGTGCACCGTAGTATTGCCTCCCGCTGGCCGTCCCAAAAGCCCCGGTTGCGGCCAGCCACCCTCTCCGCGGCGCTTCACGTCTTGGAGGGCAGCCGCCTCGGTGGAGTTGTGGAGAGACGGCCCCAGGGGGCCTCCGCAGACGACCTGCTCCGCCTCTCGAGGTTCCGCAGGCGCTGAAGGCCAGCCACGCCCGAGTCTGCCGTGGTGGTGCCCTCAGCTGCTGCAGCCGCCCTGGGATCCGGCGCTGGTCTGCCGCCTGCGGGCGGGGGCGGAGCGCGGGCGGGGGGCAGGCGTGCCCAGGCGCGGGGCGACGACCCTGCTTCTGCTCCGCCGTGGGGTCCCGCAGCCTCTCGACGTTGTCAGCGGCCCGCCGCGCCGTGCCAATGCCGAGGGTGCGCATGCGCCCGCGCCGTGTTGGTGCGGACGCCGCCCCGTCGGAAGGCGAAGTGGCACTCCTGGCTCCGGGCCCGGGCGCTGGAGGGCTGGATACTGAACCGCCACCGTGGGCCAACGAAAGGACGGCCCCTCCCCCTCCCCCTCCTCCTCCTCCCCGACCCACGTCCCCCTCCTCCTTCTCCTCCCCCTCCTCCCCCTCTTCCTCCCCCTCTTCCTCCTCCTCCTGCTCCTCCCCCTCGTCCTCCTCCCCCTCGTCCTCCTCCTCCTCCTCCTCTTCCTCCTCCTCCTCCTCCTCCTCCTGCTCCCCCCTCAGGTCCTCGCTGTCGACGATGCCATCCCCGTCCGAGTCCACGGCGGACGAAGTGTCGCCCGACGGCGTCACGACGGGCGAGGCGCCGTCCTGGCATAACGGTTGGGGGGCGCTCGGGCGGGCGGGCCTCCTCCTCTCGTCCTCCTCGTCCTCCCCCTCGTCGTCGTCGTCCTCCTCGTCCTTTTCCACTTCTCATCCTCCTCTTCCTCCTCCTCCTCCTCCTCACCCTCCTTCTGCGCAGCTTCTTCCTGCCCGCTTCTCCTCGCTCCTCCTCGCTAAGTGGGCTCCCTGGCCAAATTTTCGTCAGCACCGAGCGCACCCTAACCAATGCGATCTGCACGCCGAGAGGCGACCGAGCACGGGCGATCGTCATCAGCCTGCGTCCGACCGGCCGACGGACCCTCCCTCCTCTCCCTCCCCCTCCCCCCTCCCCCTCCTCCCTCCTCCTCCTCCTCCTCCTCCTCCTCCTCCTCCTCCTCCTCTCTCCTCCTCCTCCTCCTCCTCCTCCCCCTCCCCCTCCTCCCTCCTCCTCCTTCTTCTCCTCCTCTCCCTCCTCCTCCTCCTCCTCCTCTTCCTTCTCCTCCTCCTCCCCCTCCTCCTCCTCGTCCTCTTCTTCCTCCTTCTCCTTCTCCTCTTTCTCCTCCTCCTCATCCTTGAAGATGCGGGCAGGTTCATCCGAGATCGGAGGCCTCGATGCGGGCGTGTTTCACGCCCCTGGGGAGAGGGATCACCTCCTCGGTCCCCCATCCCTTTTTCCCCATAAATCACTCCTCGATGTCGCACCCCAAGACGTGTCGGTAGGGCGGGTCGGTCGTTTCGCCTGGGATTTCCGCGAAGTTTATGACCCTGAAGCTTGAGAATTGAAGCAGCTTCAAAGATAGAGCAAAGGTGGTCTTCAAATAAGGCTCTCGCCTAAGCACCACGCGGCTTCGTCTTAAACGTTTGAAGCAGCCTCACGGAGGGAGGGGGGTTATTATCAAAATCTGGCTCTCGCCTTTGCGCCGTGAGCATTCGTTTTAAGCATGCAGTAATTTCAAGGATGGAGGGCGGTACCATTTTAATATATAGCCATGGGACTCCCGTGGGGGGCCCTCTCGTCGCTTTGGGAGCAAGAAGCTGCGAGTTCGGCGAGAATCATTATAATCCTTTTGTAAACGCTCTGAATAGGAATCCTATTGTAGAGGCTTCCAATCATAATCCTCTTGTATATGCTCTCAATAGGAATCCTTTTGTATTAGTTTCCAACACAAAACCGATTGCAACATGTGTTGTGATACTCCATTGGTAAACGCTCTCAATAGGAATCCTAGTGTAGATGCTTCCAATCATAATCCTCTCGTACAGGCTCTCAATAGGAATCCTTTTGTATTCGTTTCCAAGAGGAAGCCGATTGCAACGGGTGTCATTGGAATCCTTTTGAAAACGCTCTCAATCGGAATCCTATTGTAGAGGCATCAAATCAGAATCCTCTTGTATACGCTCCCAATAATAATCCTTTTATACTAATTTCCAAAAGGAAGCCCGTTGCAACGGGTGTCATTCGAATCCTTTTGTAAACGCTCTCAATAGGAATCCTATTGTAGAAGCTTCCAATCAAAATCATCTTGTATATGCTCTCACTAAGAATCCGTTTGTATTAGTCTCCAATCGGAAGCCGATTGCAACGGGTGCCATTCGAATCCTTTTGTAAACGCTTTCAATAGGAATCCTATTGTAGAGGCTTCCAATCAGAATCCTCCTGTATATGCTCTCATTAGGAATCCTTTTGTATTATTTTCCAATAGGAAACCGATTGCAACGGGTGTCAGTATAATCCTTCTGTGAACGCTCTCACTAGGAATCCTATTGTACAGGCTTCCAATCATAATCCTCTTGTATATGCTCTCGATAAGAATCCGTTTGTATTAGTTTCCAATAGGGCGCCGATTGCAACGGGTGTCATGAGCATCCTTTTGTAAACGCTCTCAATGGGAATCCTAGCGTAGAGGCTTCCAATCATAATTCTCTTGTATATGCTCTCAATAGGAATCCTTTTGTATAAGTTTCCAATGGGAAGCTGATTGCAACGGGTGGCATTATAATCCTTTTTTGTGAACGCTCTCAAAAGGAATCCGATTCTAGAGGCTTCCAAACATAATCCTCTTGTATAGGCTCTCAATAGGAACGCCATAACTTTAGGAACACCCGGAGAAAAAAAACAATTAGCCTGGCGAAGGACCCAACCATATGCAGTTGTGAATGCCGCAATTGTGTTGGGTGGTGGCGGACGCATGCGGGCGGTGCCACTGGGACCTTCGGTGGAGCTCCCTATGGGGCCACGAAACGCTGTACTGGGCGGGTGAGACGCGGTCAGCAAGGGCTTTGCTGCGTGGTGGCGGACGCATGCGAGCGGTGCCACTGGGACCTTCGGTGGAGCTCCCTATGGGGCCACGAAGCGCTGTACTGGGTGGGTGAAACGCAGGCAGGGAGCAAGGGCTGCGCAGGGTGGTGGCGGACGCATGCGGGCGGTGCCGCTGGGACCTTTGGTGGAGCTCCCTATAAGGCTACGAAGCGCTGTTCTGGGTGGGTGAAGCGCAGGGAACAAGGGCTGTGCTGGGTGGTGGCGGACGCAAGCGGGCAGTGCCACTGGGACCTTTGGTGGAGCCCGCTATGGGGCCACGAAACGTGCGAGGGGTGTGCCAGAATGGGGTGTGGAACCGCATGCCAGCGCAGCCACTGGGGCCTTCGGTGGAGCTCCCTATGGAGCCACGAAACGTGTGAGGGGTGTGCCGAAATGGGGGGTGGAACCGCATGCGAGCGCAGCCACTGCGGCGTTCGGTGGAGCTCCCTATGGGGCCACGAGACGTGTGAAGGGCGTGCCGAAAAAGGGGGTGGAACCGCATGCGGGCGCAGCCACTGGGGCCTTCGGTGGAGCTCTCTATGGGGCCACGAACCGTGTGAGGGGTGTGCCGAAATGGGGGGGGAACCACATGCGAGCGCAGCCACTGGGGCGTTCGGTGGAGCTCCCCATGGAGCCACCCACGAAGCGTGTGAGGGGTGTGCCGAAATGGGGGTGGAACCGCATGCGAGCGCAGCCACTGGGGCCTTCGGTGGAGCTCCCTATGGGGCCACGAAACGTGTGAGGGGTGTGCCAGAATGGGGGTGGAACCGCATGCGGGCGCAGCCACTGGGCCTTCGGTGGAGCTCCCTATGGGGCCACGAAACGTGTGAGGGGTGTGCCAGAATGGGGGGTGGAACCGCATGCGGGCGCAGCCACTGGGGCCTTCGGTGGAGCTCCCTATGGGGCCACGAAACGTGTGAGGGGTGTGCCAGAATGGGGGGTGGAACCGCATGCGGGCGCAGCCACTGGGGCCTTCGGTGGAGCTCCCTATGGGGCCACGAAACGTGTGAGGGGTGTGCCAGAATGGGGGGTGGAACCGCATGCGGGCGCAGCCACTGGGGCCTTCGGTGGAGCTCCCTATGGGGCCACGAAACGTGTGAGGGGTGTGCCAGAATGGGGGGTGGAACCGCATGCGGGCGCAGCCACTGGGGCCTTCGGTGGAGCTCCCTATGGGGCCACGAAACGTGTGAGGGGTGTGCCAGAATGGGGGGTGGAACCGCATGCGGGCGCAGCCACTGGGGCCTTCGGTGGAGCTCCCTATGGGGCCACGAAACGTGTGAGGGGTGTGCCAGACTGGGGGGTGGAACCGCATGCGGGCGCAGCCACTGGGGCCTTCGGTGGAGCTCCCTATGGGGCCACGAAACGTGTGAGGGGTGTGCCAGAATGGGGGGTGGAACCGCATGCGGGCGCAGCCACTGGGGCCTTCGGTGGAGCTCCCTATGGGGCCACGAAACGTGTGAGGGGTGTGCCAGAATGGGGGGTGGAACCGCATGCGGGCGCAGCCACTGGGGCCTTCGGTGGAGCTCCCTATGGGGCCACGAAACGTGTGAGGGGTGTGCCAGAATGGGGGGTGGAACCGCATGCGGGCGCAGCCACTGGGGCCTTCGGTGGAGCTCCCTATGGGGCCACGAAACGTGTGAGGGGTGTGCCAGAATGGGGGGTGGAACCGCATGCGGGCGCAGCCACTGGGGCCTTCGGTGGAGCTCCCTATGGGGCCACGAAACGTGTGAGGGGTGTGTCAGAATGGGTGTGGGAGGGGGAGGAGGGGGGAGGAAGGGGAGGAGGAGGAAGGAAAAGGAGGAAGGAACGCGGGGCGACGTCTCTTCAAAACGAGGACCCAACACCACAGGATGGTTGGGAAAAAACCAAAGAAACTGAATTGCTGGAGGCTGAAACTTGGGAAACACCATTGGAAGAACAACAAAAACGAACATTCCAGGGAAGACCCGTCCGCCCCAAAGGGGAGGTTACATGGGCGGGCGGGTGCATTTTTTTTTTTTTTTTTTTTTTTTTTTTTTTTTTTTTTTTTTTTTTTTTTTTTGTTGTTTGTTCTCATGTTTTTCCCCAATGGCTTTTCCAAAGTTTCAGCCTCCAACACTTCATTTTTTTTTTTTTTTTTTTTTTTTTTTTTTTTGGTTTCTATATTTCTCTCTTTTCTCATGGTTTTCCTAAAGTTATGGCGTTCCGCTGGACGGGGGGGGGGGGGGGATGATGAGGTGGTCCCTTCGGACGGATCTTCCTCTTTTGTTGCCAATATTTTTTTTCCAAAGTTTCAGCCTCCAACACTCTAGTTTTTTTTGTTATTTTTTTATTATTCTTTTTTCTCAAGGTTTCCCTGAAGTTATGGCTTTCCCTTGGAAATGGGGAGGGGGGGAGGAGGAGGAGGAGGAGGAGGAGGAGGAACGGGGGGTGGGGGGTGAGGACGAGCAAGAGAAGAATGATGAGGAGGATGAGAGGATGAAAGGGTGAAGGGGGGGAGGAGGAGGAGGAAGAAGAGGAATAATAATAACCGCTTTGAAATGGCCCAAGAGGCCCCCCCACGGGAGTCCCATGCCAATCTATAGTACTCGCAGTGGCGCCACGCACATCTGTCGCAACTGTTTGCAACAACTGCAAAGATGGAGGGGGAGTGGGGGGGGGGGTCGTTGTCAAACTGTGGACTTCCCAACGGCGCCACGCACACTCGTCTCAAAATCTTGTAGCAGTTTGAAAGATTGGTCACGCGTCGTTTTCAAAATATGGCCCTCGCCCCAGCGCCGCGCATATTCGCCTTAAAGTTTGCGACGTTTCCAAAGATGGAGGGGGTCGCTTTCCAGATGGTGCTCTTGCCGCAGCGCCGCGCGCATTCGTTGTAAACTTGTGCAATTGCTTCAATTACGGAGGGCGCTTTCTTTTCAAACCTGGGCTCTCGCTTTAGCGCCGCGCACACTCGTCTCACGCTTTTGCGAGAGTTTGAAGGATTGATCACAAGCCGTGACCAACATTGTGGTCTCGCCCCCCCGCCGCGTCTCAGAACCTTGTAGCCGTTTGGAGGATTGACCACAGTTCGTTTTCAACATGTGAATCTCGCCTCGGTATCGCGCACATTCGTTTTAAAAGCTTGCAGCATTTCACGGATGGGAGGGGGTTCGTGTCCCAAATGGTGCTCTCGACGTAGCGCCGCGCGCATTCGTTGCAACCATTGCAATCGCTTCAAGGATGAAGGGCGGTTCCTATTCAAAGTGGGGCTCTCGCCATAGCGTTGCTCACAATCGTCTCACACTCTTGCGAGTTTGCAAGATTGATCAGAAGCCGTGTTCAGCATCGAAGTCTCACCTGAGCACCGCGCGCTTTCTTTTCAATGCTATGTTTTTTATACGGTGGATGGCTGTTCTTTTTCAAGGAGAAGGTTCTCGCTTGAGACTTCGTTCATGTTGGAGACCCGAAACTTCAACATATGTAGCGCTGCACGCTTTCAGGGCGTCTTTTGTTAAATTTGGAGCTGTCGCTTGAGAATTCCTCGAAATTCACGGCCACAACTGTAAGCTTGTACAACAATTACACGGATGGGGGGGCCACTCTCCGAAAGAGGGGGCCTAGCTGGACACCTCGCTGACGGTACGGGGTGCGGGCAGAAACGACTCCTACCTCCTACGCCCTCGAGCGAGACCCTAACCCTAGACCCGTCGTCCGTCCTTGCCGGGAACGTCGGGGTCGTCCGGGTCTGGGTCCTGCGGGGACGACGCTGACGATGACGATGATGACGACGACGACGGTGATGATGATGGTGATGATGATGCTGCTGCTGATGAGGATGATGATGATGATGATGATGATGATGATGATGATGATGGCGATGACAATTCTGATGATGATGATGATGGTGATGCTGATGATGATGATGATGGTAATGATGATAATGAGGATTCCGACGATGATGTTGTTGATGATGGTAATGACGATGATTTCGATGATGGTGATGTGATGATGATGGTGAAGCTGGTGATGATGACGACGATGATGATGACGATGCCGAGTGTGATTGATGTGATGATGGCAGCAGTGATGACGACGACGATGATGACGACGAAGATGGTGCTGTTGATGATGATGCTGGTGGTGATGATGATGATGCGGGTACTGATCAATGTTAATGATGCTGATGACGATGATGATGCTGATGCTGATGATGCTGATGAAGATGATGATGTCGCTGATGACACTGATGCTGATGATGGTAATGATGATCATGCTGATGCTGCTGATGATGATGATGATGCTGATGCTGCTGATGATGATGAGGGGGCGAAGAGGGCAGTGGCAGGAGGAGGGGGGAGCGGAAGGTGGTGGTGAAGGAATGCGATGAAGAAGAAGCAGAAAAAGAACACGTCCTCCCCGTTCGGAACTCCATCGCCGTCTCTGTCCGTATCCGAATTGTCGCCAATGCCGTCGCCGTCCATGTCGGACCACTCCTTCGGGTCCTTCGGGAACTTGTCGTTGCCATTCGCAATGCCGTCTCCGTCCAGATCGTCGTCCGTATTGTCGCCAACACCGTCGCCGTCTATGTCGGACCACTCTGTTGGATCTCTTGGGAATGCGTCTTCGCTGTCCGGACGAGTATCGTTGTCATCGTCAGTGTCCGTGTTGTCTCCAACGCCGTCCTTGTCGGTGTCCAGCCACTCCGCCTTTGACTCTGGGAAGGCGTCTCTGCCATTCGCCCACCCGTCTCCATCCATGTCGTCATCCTTATTGTTGCGAGAGGAGAGGAGAAGAGAAGAGGATGCGAAAGAGGAGTATGATGAGGAGGAAAGAGAAAAGGAGGAGCTATGAGGAGTGAGGGGGGAGGGAGGAGGAGGAGGGGGAGTAGGATGTCGTCGTCCTTATTGTCGCCGACGCCGTCTCCGTCATGGTCGGACCACTCCGTGAAGTCACGCGGGAATGCGTCGAGATGATTGGGGACGCTGTCGCCGTCCATGTCGGCGTCCTTGGCTCCGCGGCGCGTCCCACCGCGGCGGGGAGCGGGAGGGGGAGAACGAAAAGACAAGGATACACTGGCCACACAAACAAACGCATTACCAAACCATACATGCACACATGTATGTATGTATGTAAGTAAGTCTGCATGTATGCATGTATGCATGTATGCATGTATGCATGTATGCATGTATGTATGTATGTATGTATGTATGTATGTACGTATGTGGGCATTTATGTGTGTATTCATATGTATGTATGTATGTATGTATGTATGTATGTATGTGTGTACGTGTGTATGTGTGCATTTATGCATGTATTCATGTGTACGTATGCATGTATGTATGCATGTATGTATGTATGTATGTATGTGTGTATGTATGCATGTATGTATAGATATATGTATGTATGTATGTGTGTATATACATATGTATGTATGTGTGTGTATGTATGTATGAGTATACGTATGCGTACACGTACATAATGATACATATGTGTAGGTATGTACGTGCGTACGTATGCATGTATACATGCATGTGTGTATGCATTCATGTATGTATGCATTTATGCATGCATGCATGCTTCCATGTATGTATGTAGGTCGGTAGGTTGTGCGTGATATGTATGTAATGCATGATATTAATATTATGTATATGTATGTATGTATGTATGTATGCACGCATCTATGCATGCGTGTACGTATATATATATATATACATTCATGTATGTATGCATGCATTCATATATGATTGTATGTCTGTATGTGCGTATGTATTTCTGTATGTATGTATGCATGCATGGGCACATCTACATACCTCCATGCATGCATGCATGCATGCATGTAAATGTATATGTATATAGATATGAGTAATCAGCGTGTTTATGTATACACACAGAAATTGCCCGTTCCTGGCCCGTTCCGGAAACCATGACCCCCAAAACATTGGGACCTCTCTTTGGGGGGCGACTTTTACTCCCGCGGGCTTCCGCCGACCTTCCGCCGAGGAAGAGGAGCCATCCCCTTCGACCCTCCAAGGCGAGACCCGTACTGTAATGCCCTATACATACATACATACATACATCCATACACATATATATATATATATATATATATATATATATATATATATATATTATCATACGCACCTCTCCGAGGGAGTAGAGCTCAGAAGCGATTAATGCGCACGCGTCCGCGATTTTTCTGGGCGTTTCGCTCGGGACATCCTCGAAATTCTGAAAATCGGTGGCACCCCTCACGCAGATCGTGACGTCAGGGTCCAAAAACACATGGGAATTTCAACATGTTAACATAAAACCTTCAAAAACACATGGTAATTTCAATAATTTGACCCCGATTCTCAGAGAATGGCGGTTTCGCCTGAGAATCCTCCCAAAATCGAGCCCCAGACCCCTCCTCGGAGCCTCCTGGGGGCCTCCTGGAACCTCCTGGGGCCTCCTGGGGCTTTCTGGACCTTCTGGTACCCCAGACCCCGCCTCGGAGCCTCCTGGAGTTCTCCTGGGCCTGCTGAGGCCGCCTGGGGCCTCCTGGGGCCTCCTGGGGCTTCAGAACTACATGCACACACAGAGACACAAATCACGCCCAACACATCACACGCTAGACAAACATAACATACACACACACACAACACCGACAACACACAAAAAGCACGCACCACACAAAGCACACATCACACACACACAACACTCACAATCCTGGGGCCTCCTGGAGCCTCTTCTGGTATCCAAGTCGGGCCTCCTGAGGCTTCCTGGGGGGCCCTGGTACACACATCGCAAGGTGTGGCAACCCCACTTGCGCTCGAGTGCGACTTCGCTGTTGCATGTCACTCCTGCTTCAAACGCCCCTTCAGCTTGTTGTATGAGCCTGGGCACACACGTGCCACTTGTATATATATATATATATATATATATAAAATGCATATGTATATGTATAAATAGATTGACATACATTTACACATGTATGAATGCATTTCTGTATCGATACGCACACATATCTGTATACGTGTTCATGATCAAGTCTATAGAAAAGCATTGACATACATATGCGCATCATGTACATCTGAATATGAACAAATCCGCCACCGTGCCCAGCGGGACGAATTGGAGTGCCCTTGGATACCTTCATCTTTCCGTCCTCAGCCCTGAATGATTGAGTTTTAAAGGTCCCAGCCCCAACTTCCTGGATCCGCCAGGGCGTGCCGGGTGACTCCTGGGGTTCCCCGCGTGTCCCCGCGCGTTGCCGCGTGACTTTTTCGGAGCCTGGAGGGCTCCAAGACAGGCCGACAGGGCCCAAAAATGACCCCGTGACCGTCCAAGAGGGCCCCGAGTCGCGGAAAGATCGCCCCAGGATGCTCATGATATTCTCCAGACAGCCCAGGCCGACTCCAAGACGCCCAAGAGGGCTCTAAGAGCACTTTTCCAAAGGGCCCCAAGCGGCCAGAATCATAAATTCCCTTTGAATTTTTGAAGGGTTTTTGGGGTTCTCGCTTTTTCGCGCTCTCGACGCTTCAACATGACCCAAGAGGCCCCCAAGATCGGCCCAAGATGGTTTGAGTGGCCTCTAAGAGTGCTCCAAGACGGCTCAAGAGGTCCCCTAGAGACCACCAAGACGGCCCAAGAGAGCCCCAATAGGGGCCTCAGAAAGAGAAGGCGAACCGACATTTCGTGCCGTCCGGCCCACATAGATATATTAAGAAAGAAAGCTCGCGTGTTGTGAGGAAGGGGTTGGGAAGGTACAGGGCATGAACAATATGATTCGGATGCAATGAACGATACATTCGGCCGCCTGCGCCCAGCGAAAAAGAAACGTGTTGTCGCCGCAGCGCATGGGCCGCAATTCCAACACCGTGCAAACTTCCTAAGGAACGGATTGCAACGTGCAGCCTACTTCGTGGCCCTCTTGGGACCATCATGGACCCCTGGGAACATCCCAATAATCAACTTGCGCCCTCCAACATACTTCGTGGCCCCCTTGGGACCCGCTTGAAAGTCAGTCGAGGCCTTCGGGGTGCCGTCAACAAGTCTCCTCGTATGTGTTCTGGGCCCTCTCGGAGCCATCTTGGACCAGCTCAGTTGTTGAAGCGACGCGACGAACACTGGGGATGGACCAAAGGCATGAGCAATGCTGGGGTGTCCCGCAACTGCCCAAAGAATAATGAATTCCCCATCAGGTTCTGTATTGCGATCCGCTGCTGTTAGGGAATTCACTACTTCATCTTTCCTCGTGCTTCCTCATGCTCATACTCGTTTTTTGGGGCTGTGGACTGCCGCGAATTTCGTATTGCGTCCCGTTCCTGATACGGGGAAAACAATTAATTCCGTATTGCGTCCAGTTCGGGATACGGAATCACTACAGCATTGGACCGCCTTGGTGCTCATGGGTTGCACCACCCCTTCTGCATGAGTCGTCGGCACCGGAGGCGCAACATCGCTAACGATCGGACCCCATAGGCGATGCCAGACTATGTAGGCCCAGCCCGTGATGGGCAGAGCAAGGTTCTTCAGAAAGAACTGCTGACGACAAAGAAAGACGCATGAGTGTGCTCAGCGGGAACGTCGTCTCCAGCGAGATGAAAGCGAAGAGCCCAATTAAGCTCAAGCAGGAGTGCTGGTACAATCGGCAGGCAATTCAAGCTCCAGGGGGTCGGAACATGCGACGGCCAATGGCAGTGTGTATGGCTGTGAAATAAACACGTTCAGCATACGCGATAATACGGATGATGGGATAATTCCTCCCAACACGAAAAAGAGTTACCCCCAAGCTCTCATGTGTTTTTGATTCTGTGCGCTCAGGACTCTGGGATTCTAGTATTCTGAGGGTCTGGGGCCCCAGAACCTTACATTTCCTGGGCGCTCCCGCGCACTCCTGGGCTGCCGCGCGTGACTTGTCCAGAAACCAGAGGGCCCCAAGACGGGCCAAGAGGGCCACAGAAAGCGACCAAAAGGGTCCAAGAGGCCTCCAAGACAGTCCAAGAGCGCTCCAAGACGCCTAAGATGGCCCAAGAGGCCCCAAAGTAGCCCCAGGAGCGCTCCAAGAGGACACCCAAGAGGGCCCAACGAGACAACAATCATTGATTTCCCTTTTGTTTTTCAATGTTTTTTGCGTTCTCGCGTTTTCGGGCTTCCGACGCTCCAAGATGTTCCCAGAGGCCCCAAAGATCGCCCCAAGACGGCCCAAGAGGCCCCCAAGAGGCCCCCAAGACGGTCCAAGAGGGCCCCAAAACGGCCAAAGAGGTGCCCAAGATCGCCCAAGAGGGCCCCAAGACGGCCCCGAGAGGAGCCCAAGAAGGGGAACACACATCGACAATTCGAGCCTTCCGCCCCAAGACGCCTCCAGAAGGCCCCTAAGAGGCCCCCAAGAGAGCCCAATAGGCTCCCTAGAGGCCCCACAAGGCGCCCAAGAGGCCCCAAAAAGAGGCCCCCAAGAAGCCTCAAAACTGCCTCCAAGAGGCTCCCGAGAGGCCTCCCACGATATCCAAACGTATATACAAGAGGCCTCTAACCCACAACCCAGGCACGGTGGCGGGATGGGCCGAAGGCCACTAGATGTGTGTATGTGTATGTGTGTCTGTCTGTCTGCCTGTCTGTCTGTCTGTATGTATGTATGCCTACATGTCTGTATAGATGTCTGTATGTCTGTATATATGTATGTCTGTATGTACGTACGTATATATGTACGTCTGTATGTATGTATGTATGTATGTATGTATGTATGCATGCATGCATGCATGCATGCATGTATGTATGTATGTATGTATGTATGTAGGTGTGTGTATAGTTGTATGTGTGTATGAATGTATTTGTATGCATGTATGCATGCATGTACGCATGTACGTATGTGTATGTACGTATGCATGCATGCATGCATTCATGTATGCATGTATGCATGCATATAAATAAATAAGTATTCATGCGTTCACGCACGCACGCACGCACGCATGTATGTATGTATGTATGTAGGTCGGTAGGTGGCTAGGTATGTATGTGTGTGTA